GTTATTTTCTGCATCTTTAGGATGTGTGAGAAGGTTTAATGGAATTACTTGATAATAAAGAAGAATCGTGAGGTACGAAAAATACATTGTAGTTTTTTGTATTAAATTTTTTTGTAATATGCTAACGGTTTTTTTGCTTAGGGTTTCTTTTTTTTCCATTATTTCTTAAAGAGAAATTATGTTTTAAGACAAGAAGAATTTACTATAAATGTATTAGTCTATTATTTATTTATAATAATCAATTTTTGTCTGGTTCAAATGATTTATTTTATATATAAAAAAATTTTTATGAAAATTTTTTCAATTTTGAATAATAGTTCAAGATGATGAATACTTAACAAAAAAAATTTTTGAATTCAACTTTAGTCTATATATTATAATAAATATTTAAGTTATTTTTTAAATGATATTAATAAAAATATTAAGTATAAAAAAAATAAACTTGCCTATAATCATCTTCATTGCAAACGTAATCAGGTGGTATGAGATGCCAAGAAGAGTCATAACAATCATCATATGATGCTGCCATCTCTAAACTAACTGATGTTTATCACTATAACTTATACTAATTAAAACAAAAATAGTTGATAACTTAATTGTCGGAGCTACTGTAAATAACCAGATTTTTATGACATTTAATAGCAGTCAATAGTTCTTATAATTTATGAGATATTTAATTGAATATATATATATAGTACACAGTTGTAAAAGTCATCGCAATACTAACTGTCGGAGTACCCATACATTCAGTTATGTATTCTATTAAAAATATATGTAGCTTCTAGATAGGAGCTCAGGCAACCTTATCTTCCATTCGATAACACCCTATAGATTAGTTTTGACTACCGATCATTGATTTCTAACTCTTTTATAGAAATTATTATTATTATTACACTGAAAAGAAATTTTTTCTTCTCACTGTCTTCTACTCTCAACACATCAAGGTCAAATACTGTGGTCTTAAAATGCCTCTATCACAACTAAATTACACTTGCAGGATAAAATAGGTAGACTTATATATCAACAAAACACTCTAAACAATTCATCTTGTATTTAATAAAAAATAATTTTATTTTGCTACCTTGAAAAAAAAAACTGTATAAAAAAAATTTTACATAGACGTCCGGATGTTTGTATGTCATCACGATAACTCCCGAAAAAATTAACTTATCAAGACCTGGTTTTTTTTTGTTAGCTTTAAAATGCAATTTTAAAGCTAACAAAAAAAAACCAGGTCTTGATAAGTTTCGCAACTGGTTTCGTATTAAAGATCGTTGTATGATTCGGTGTTATTTCATTATAATTAATAAAAAACAAAAATCGGCTGATTTTTGGTATGTATATATACATAGCCACGCATGGGCGCTTCATGAAAATGCCGCGAAATATTTGAATTTAAATTTAGAGCATAATTTGTTAAATTTTTCATATAATAAAAATAATAACTTATTACATGCGCTTTTATTCAAAAGTAATTTAAATAAGCGTTATGAGGCGTGTAATTTTAAATTTTTCAAATTTTTATTACTATTATTATTATTCTATAATTAAAAAAAAATTATTGCAATTATAGGTAATAATTGATTCCATTAAATAGCATGTCAAAAATAAAATGATAAATTTGTAATTATTAAACAAACCCTCGACTTCTGAAGTGCTTAAGTTCAAGTTGAAGTACGCCTTTGTATTACACAATATATGAGTGCCAATTAGATTCATAGATTGAGTGTTACTTTTTTTATTTCTATCGAATGGTTGCTGATAAAATCATCACCTTGAAGCATAGAAAAAAAAATCATAAAATCACCTATGTACAGAAAAACTATTACCGACAACATACTCTTTTTAATAGCGATAATAAAAAATAGGTTGATGTATTATATTATATCGTTAAGTATAATGTAGAAAAAGTTTATTAACGTTAAATGTAAAAAAGATGCTTGAAGTGATAGCTAAAAAAAATCAATATTAAAATATGTAAAAAAAAATTTCAATACATATCATGATGGCCCAGTTTCTGCGTGTATATAATATATAAGAATTTTTCGCGATATACCATCTCTGTTTAAACTTTTAACGTGCAAATGATAATAAATTTAACCAACGACGGATCAATATAATCATGCGTGACTGTGAATCTAATTGCTGATGTGATGTATCATGAATTATCGTTAAATATTATGAAACATATATAAGTACATATATATAGATAGATAGGGAAGAAATATGCAGTGAGTTGTGGTAATATAACATTGACATGTAGTTTTAATCAATATGATTATCACAGATTATCAAAAAAAAGAGTAAATAAATAAAATAAAAATCATCAATGTTATTTATCTTCTATATTAATTTTTAACATATATCACATATGTACGTACATTTTCCATGTATGTCAATTTTTTTTTTTTAATTAAACTACATGGGTGATTCTCTGTAAGGATGTTTTTTGCTGTCCCAGGCATTTTTTTATTAGAAAAATTGTTATTTTTTTACTAAAAAAAATTTATTACGAAAGTAAAAAAACATTTCTATTTGGAGCATTGAGAACTAAAATGAAATAAATTTTGGTTTTTTTACTATAAATTCGTAAACCACCGAAATAACAGTCCCCTGGGCTGTCCCATTCCCAAAATTAAAACTTTAAGATTAAATTTTAAGTTATTCGTCCATAATATATAACTTGGTCCATAATGTTTATAAACTTAATTAGTTAACTAACAATTTTCTTCAATAAAAAGTACCGAAAATTAATTTGTTCCATTAAATTCATTAAACCACAGTTTGTCCCAGGTATTTTAAGAACAGTCCCCTGCCAGAAGTTCAGAGCCAAAAAAAAATCCAGCGTGTTATTTTACCTTTTGTAAGGTTTATAAGGATCTCACTAGCCTTGAGTTAATAACCATAGGGCTGTTAGCACTTTATCGCCATTTTATTTAGTGTCAAAGCACCGTTTGTGCTGGAAATATATGTCTGGGCCACTTAAAAACTCAGTCCCCTGGCAACTATTTTTATTTATAAAATTGGATCCATAAGTCTTAATATTATTCTAATTAATGTAAATATTCATTGAGAACTATTAAATTAAATCGGCTGTTTATTTATTATAATTAATCTGATAGTTTTGTAGCCCTTGTTAATTTTTTTTCTAATAAAATCAAAAATAATTTGGTCGAACAATTTTGTACAGATTTAAGACGTCCTTACAGAAAATCACCCACATAGATTAGAAGAGAAATTTTTCTGAACATTGTAAAATTTATAAAATCCTTTTCGTGCAAATCCATTTTTTTCCTTTTCAACAAATTTAAAAATATTTCACCTTTCAAAACCTACATACAAGATCTCTGCATTAAATTTACATACATTTACATATTCAACCCTCATCTTGTCGGAACATAATTTCATACAAAATTTTTCCCATTGAAAGCTTCAATTTTTTCGGGCCATTATTTACAACAATAATAAAAGTCACGTGAAGAATATTTTTTAATTTTTTTTATAAAGAAGAAATTTCGAAAGCTTAAACACAAATTTATATCACATGTAACCTATTAAATATATAATATAAATGTTTGACATAATTAGTTTATTTGGAAGATTTTTAGAAGGACCATATAATAAAAGAGCAAGCATGGTGGTTTTTCGGGAATTGTAATTATGTATTGAACAAGTGCGACAAAGCGTCCCACTTAAAGAATTCTTTGGGAAGTTAAAAAAAGAATGGTTGCGGTTTCTTCTCAAAGTGTGTTTCCACATCAGCTCTGGGAATTTTCTAAAGTAAGAAAAGAAATACACAGAAAATCTCCGACACTTAAATTGTTTAGCCTGATCATTTTGATGTTAATAAATTTTACGGTTATTGAGAGCTCTCGGTGATTTGAATGAAGATTTATTTTTCTCAGTGTAGTGAAGAAATCGGATAAAAGACTTCCTGAAGTCAAAGTGTGAAGTCTTTGTGTAAAAAAAATATTATTCTGCTTAATGATACTGAAAACAGTTATCAAAAAAATTTGTTTATTTTTATTACAAATCAATTATAAACAAATAATTTTATGAAAATGAAGTTAACCGACATTTCAAAATTTTTAGAAACTTTTTATTGAAAAAATTTCAATTAAACATTAAAAAAAAAAAATTTTCACATGTACAAAACTTGAAAAACTGTAAGTGCAATTTTTTATAAGTATCTTTTCAGTTGTAATTTAATTGATTAAAATAATCAAAAATTTTTAGACGTCTGCTGACTTCAGTGTCATATAATTTTTACAAAATTTGCACTTGTAATTTTCTTTTTTAATTTTTAAATGCGTAATTTGTTTGTTAGAATTTTTTTATAATAATCGAGTTATAAAAATCAAAAAAATTTACAGATGTCTATAAATTTTAGTATAATTTTTGAATAATATATTTTTTAATAAAAAATAAAAATTTTAAAGAAGAAAAAGTTCAGACATATTTTTTTCTGATAATAAATTTATCTTATTTGTTTATAAATATTTATCAGGTCACAAAAATTAATTTTTTATTTTTATTTGATATCTTCTAACGCGCCATTTTGTTACAATTGTCAAAGTCTGCCTTACCAGCTGTCAAATGAAAGTGAAGTACTCTTATTAGTAACTGGTTACAGTTGAGAAAAAAATTTTCCCGCATTGCCAATGAATGAGAAAAGATTTTTTTATCAATTGCCAATGCGCCACGTACGATAATTATTTTTTAAAGCTCTAGTAATAAAAGAAGGGGAAGAAAGTATAATGTATGTACATAGAATAAAGTCTACGAAGAATAATAACCTGTATCAAATATACAAGCTGTGTAGAGTACACAAAACAATTGACTGACGTGTATTGATAAAAGTAAGATCTTATAAAAAATTCAGGTGCTCGATAGTAAGTTAATAAAAATTAGCCAAAGAATTATTAGTAGTAATAGTTATTAATCTGAGTTTATTGGTAATATAGTTTACCAGTGAGATATTGGAGTATTTTTATGAAATAATGGCGTCAGTAGACAATGACGATCTATCATCAAGTGCCAAAATAACAGAAGATATTGAAAAATTGTCGGTGGCTGGCAATGACAATCAAATGGAAAACAAAACTAAGAATATTTATGACGATAATAAAAATCACAACAATCCTGAGAACAGTGAAGCTAAGCTAGATAATAAACAGGATGATGAATTTAAGCCACATTTGACCGGATTCGAAATTCGGGATCTTTATAAAATCGCATTGAATTTTTACAAAGGTAATTTATTTATTTATTTATTCTTATGATTTTGTTAAGTGTACCTATGCTCATTTTTTCGTGATTTTTTATCTTTACTTTTTTGTGATTTTACTAAAAATTTATTGAAATGAAAATGACACTTGATAATTTCTTGATTTTCAATTACATTAAAGTTAGCAATTACTAAACCATTTTTTAATTTTTTTTAACAAATAAATTTTTGTCCAAAAAATTATTTTTAAAAATTTGTATTATAATTTCTACATGTCAATTTTTTTGCCATAATTTATTTGTTAAAAAAGTTCTTAAAATTATATCAAATATCTGGTAAATTAATTTTCATTGATTTTAAAATATTATTTTCTAAAAATTGCATTTATAATTTTTTAGAGCTTCTTAAGATGGAATTTTTTAAATATATTTTTCTTGCTATAATTTATTTGCTAAAAAATTCTAAAAATTATCAGATATCTCTTAATTTCAATATCATAAATAAAATTAGCAAACTTCTGATAATTTTTACAATCTTTCTTATTGAACAAAATTATTACACAAAAAATAAAATGAAAAATTCCATATGTGGAAGATTTTAAAAACTAGAAGTATAATTTTTTTAGTTCTAATTAAATTAATGACAATCGAAAATTATTTTACTAAAAATAAAAGACATTTTACAATTTTTAAAATTTTATTATTTTTAATTTTCTATCGTTGAATTTAATTTAACTCAGTTTATACCCGTGTAAAAAAAAATCGTCTTAAAATTGTCTTAAAATTGTCGTTCATTTAAGATCTTAAACGTGACACAAACTAAGACTATTTTAAGACGCCAAAAGAAAAATTCCGAGAGCAGATTTTTGAAAATTTTGTTCTCGAATTTGTTGTGAAAATTAATTTTTAGATGATTTTACGACTTTCTAACCGCAATATTTTTGAGTAAGATGTTTTTAAATTGAATTTAAAATTGTTAAAAAATTATTATCTGACAATTTTAAGACTTTTTTTAAGACGTTCCGTTTTAATGTTCACGGGGCTCTGTCGCTGTTAACCCATCTTAAAATAGTCTAAATTTTTTATTAAGATTTTTTTAAGACTAATTTAAGATAATTTTGAGACAATTTAAAGACGCTCCATAATAATTTTCCGAAGCTGTCACTGTGATGTCATCT